AATAAAAAAAAATATTAAACATAAAATAAACCCTGGAAATATAGCCGAAACTTTTCAAAGTAAGGCGAGTCTACTCTAATGGCCGCCAGTGTACATACATAGCTGAAGTGAAGTGAAGTATTGTTTTTTTACAATTTGAATTCATTTGCTAAGCCAATCAATCAGCTAAAGGGAAACAAATCAAAGCAATTGGAAGTCGCCTCTTAGGCTTATTTTGTTGTTGAAGCGTTGTTTGTTAGTTTATTTTTTCTGCATTTTGAATTTGAATGTACATGACCGAGTATATTAAGTACAGTAAGCGCCTACATTCATAGATAGCATTGACACAAACATGCTCATTGCTCAATTTGCTGTCATATTCCAGCAATTAATTTCATATCTATGACTATATTTATATCTTTGAACGTGTGTCGTAATAGTTTAAAATTTGTCGAGTGCGTTGTTCAGTGCCCTTCTTGACCATCACTAAAGCTGCCATTTAATTATAAGGCTGTGGTCACTCCTACAAATGTGTTTCATTTCATTTTTTAACGGCAGCTCATAACTCAATGCTGTTCAAGAAAGTTCATTACGTCGCGACTAGGGGAATTTCTTTGGGAATACGTGCGCCGAGCGATTATAAATGAGTAATACTGGTATATTTGGTATATGAGTTTCTTTTTTTTTTTTGTTATTGCTGTGATTGTTGATTGGAAGTCCGGTGTCATAAAATTAGCAATTATTTATTCATTACTCATTAAGGCTCAAAGATCATGAAAGTTGTACAAAAGCAGCAAAATACCATTGCTTGTTTTTACTATCATTGCTCGCATTTGTTTCTGTATGTTGTTATAAATATTTCTCAGCAATAAAAAAACTAAATAATTTCCAAGATAACTCAAACTTCTGTAATAGATTTCTAAGGGCTTTGGTGCATGAATTCTATGGTCGAAGCAAAATATGTACTCTGCTGGTTATGAAAAAGTAGGCGCTGTGTTTGTCTTAACAGAGCAATTCAGCACCTATGAGAATTCAGACGATAACCAATAAATATCCTACTGAAAAGACAACAAAATTATTTGAAATCGAACGTATAACGCCGACTCCTATCCAGAGGAGAATGGAAAAGTGGCTCAGTGGCCAATAACGTGCCTATATCTTTCTATACCGACGATCCCAAGATGTAAGTCGTGGGAGCCTACTCTAAAAAACCGATCGCTCTCTCTCTATACGGTGGAAAAAGGATATCTTGCTTGTAAAATCTTAGGTAGTGTTGTCGTAATTTACCCTGCAGCCAGTCTGCGTTGTTAGCCATAGCAACTCAGGTGCCCAGATTTAAACTGATCAAGAAATGCAAAGTGATGTTACATTCAGTACCTCAGTCAATGATTATCACCCTTTTCTGCGCTCCCGGTCGTAACAACGAAGAGAAGACAATGAGAAAGCAATCGAATTCTCGAAGGCTGGAGGCTGTTTCAATGAACTAGAAGCGATGGCACTGGGATACTCTTTTGGAATAATCAAAACAGAAAATCAAGCGGCACGCCATTTGATTGCATGCTAGACTTTTAAAATAGCAATAGAATTATGGCCTGTTAAAAACTCAAAATTTGATACAGGAAGCAAGAAAAATTAAAAATGCAACGTATCCAAAAGGATTAAGATACTGGTCTTATTTCTTTCCGTTTATTTTCAATTAAAGGCAAATTTGCTAAGTCCAAAAGAGGCACTGAAAATTCATTAAGCCCAAAATATTTCGAAATTTTTTAATTAACTAACATCACATATTTCTCGCTCGTATGGAGTTGTGCTTTACTCTAAACCGGTCATTCACAAAGTGGTGAAGGTGGACTCCAGGGGTCCACGGTAGAATCGACAAGGGTATACGTTGGCGTGAAAAAGAATGGGGGCTCACAAGTTTTTAGTGGTGGTCCAAGGAAATTCATCTAGGTTCGATAGGAAAGGGCGAAAATATTGCCTTGCTTTTATCTTTACCTTTCAATGTAGGCAGATAATAAAAAAAACTTAAGAGAGCAAAATAAATCGCAATTATTTTTCGATGATTTTTGACGGGCCGTATTTCGAATGAAGTTTTGGACTTAGAATGCTCTCACGCCCGACGATTGTTCTATATTGAAAAAAAAATATAGCCCTTTTTTATTTTGAAATCAAAAAATCAAAATAAAAACAAGTTTTCGTAGAAATGGTGTAGAACTTTTGAAAATCATTACATTTTTTGAGGTTTTTAAAGGTCCTATAAAAGTAGTTAATAATAGAAAATGGTTAAATAAACAATCGAGTATTATTACCAGAAGTCTCCTGAAGCCAAACAAAGTTTTCCGATCGAAAATTATTGATTTTCTAGAATTCTATATCATTTCGGCGTAAACTGGGTTTTCCCATATAAAATACTTGGAAAACTTTGAGTGACCTCTAAAATTTTATTTTTTGTTCAAAATGAGCATATAGAACAATCCTAAGGGGCATTAAAATTCCGACTTTACTTTTTAACATGCATTTTTGGACTACCCTTATGCACATACACCCACTCAGCAGTCGCAAGTCTCGAGTGATACCTCAGACCAAAAAAACCGTGGCCTATGTTCCTATTGCAATCGAAAGTTGATTGTGGTCTATATAATCCATATTTGACCCGTCCGAATATTTACTACGTAATTTGCAAATCTATGAATTTAAACTCAAGTTAAGAGAACTCCTTTGGTCATATTTTGACTGGGAATTTTCTCCCCAATCGGATTTCTAACTGAGAGAAATTTAACAAAATATATTTCCTGTGCTTCTTCTTCTAAAGATAATCATCAGTTTTTCGAAAATATGAAGAGCAGGCTATCGTAGAAACGAGTTTAAAGCCGATCTTTGTGTGTCTTATCTCAATAGAAAACCAAAGTTAGTATTAATAAAAATGTTTCTCCTTGAATCTTAAAAATAGAGGAGCTATTAGCTAAACATTTTTTTAACTCTGGTGGTGAGCAAAACATGAGTATTTATAAAAAAAAGGCTACCCTCGTAATCAATTTTCTGGAGATATGTACCTCTAAAGGATTATATTAATTCCAATAGTCTTGTTTGGAAAATAGGATGCTTCTAACTTTTCGGTTGTCTATTACAGACAAATAAAGCGAAGCTAAAAGGAATGGTTTGTCATTAAACAATACTAAAAAACACTTTCGCTTTTAACACAATATTAATCAAATATGTATTGAAAACGACCATCACAGAAAGAAATAATGGAAAGCCTTATTTATTATTGCGTGCTTATAAAGTTCGTATTTAAGTATAGCTTAATGAAGCTGTGCTTATTGAAATTGTATTATTCTGCAGTTAACTAGTTGGCACATGAACCTAAGTATACGGAGCTTTTTTTAAGCTTATATGATCATCAGTATAAAAAGTTCGTAACATAGCTTTTTCGTATGCAATAACTTAATGGTTATAGCCATAGGATACATGCGTTGACATAAAGCTTAATATTATGTTAAATTTAAACTGAATTATTGATTAGGGTTGTTCAACTTCCCTCGAAAGTCGACTTGCGACTTATCGATCGACTCTGTGCAGTCGACTTTAAAAGTCGACCGATCCACGAAGAAAAGTCGACTTTTTCGATGTTTTTAACCAAAAAAAATGTATTAAGTATACCCTGCGTTTAACTCATATATTAGATATAAATATAAGGGTCAGAATACGCCAAAAATATCGTGATTTACTACTGATCTTTAGAATAATCTGATTTTTAGTGAAATTCAATGCTAGGTAAAAAAACAAACACACACTAACGGATTTTTAAAAATTTTGAAACTTGTTCCAGTTATACAGCATGGAAATGTTGGTTGTGGGGGTTTTTAAAAATTATATTTTTGAAATATAATTTAAAAATTTTTAAATTTTCACCAAAACAAAAAGTTCAAAAAATTTCTCGAATCGATATTTGGTAATTACGGACAACTTTTTGAAAAATGTTGCCTTTCCGATGGAACAGAGGTGGCGAGTATTGGTAGACATGGGATATTCGCCCAGTAGCTCAGACAGCTAGTGGATTGGGATTATCCACACGACTAATGTCGCATATCAGCTGGAGTTCTATCAGCAACATTTTTATCGATGTTTAAAATGTTGTACCTTACGGATTGGTCAAATTCGAACCAAAGACTGTATGTAGAAACTTACATAAATTCAGGGAGAAAAACTTTCTTGCATGAAATTGTTAAAATAAATACTTATGTATATCTTACCTAATTACTAACTGAAAATGTCGACAGTCGAAGTCGACTTTGCCATCCCTATTATTGATGCGTTAAGAGTAGGGCTGTGCGATTATTCGATTACTCGAGCAAGTTGGTTAATCAATTATTCGGTTAATCAATTACTCGAGTAATCAAAATTTTGATTACTCAAAACGATGATTAATCGAGTTACTTGAAATATGATTACTCAAAAAAAATAATTTTGCTCGTAATAGAGTTTGCTTTGGAAAATGCTTATTTTCTTTTTTACATTCTGTGTATGAAATAAATTTTTTTTTAATTTTTGAAAACAGAAACGTTGTTTTCAAAGTATCAAGGAACTTTAACTACTTTATACATATGTAAAGAGTTGAAATGTTGATTACTCATTTTACTCGAAATGTTGATTAATCATAAAGCATTTTACTCAAATATTTTTGTTTTTGGTTAATCAAAAATCTTGATTACTCGAGTAACTGAACTTTTGAGTAATCATAATTTCCAATTAATCGAATAATTGAGTTATTTACTTTATGATTAATTAAAATTTTGAGTAATCAATTAATCGCACAGCCCTAGTTAAGAGAGAGACCATTAAGAGGTTGTGTGCACACTTCTAAACAATTTTTCTTTTATTTTTAGCGCCAAACAAGAAGAATAGTTCTATGTAAATGAAATTTTGTAAACTAAAAAAACTTAATCGGCTTTACTTTAATGGAGACTGAATGTAGCATCGCTACCTATTTAACATCACAAGTAAAGAGTTCCATATATAGATATGTATGTACATACATTTATTACGGCATATATACTAAACATACATCAATACAAATATAATTCCATGAGGTACATTCAAGTAACCTAATTCATTTATATTATCACAATTTAAAAATACAAAAGATTTAATCAATAGATATATAATTTTACCATAAACAGCTAAATATAACTACAATTAATTTTATAAGCATTTTATATTTTCCAGCAATATTTTACTTAAATTTTATCATCTCGAATTTTACGCGCCGTTACATAGGGTTGAAAGCCATTCTTGTTAGCCTTATAGAGTACAGTGTATTCATAGCCATCGGCAGAGATGAAACTATAGCCACCACGATACTCCACAGGTTTCGCAGGTTTCGCAGTTGTCACTGCATTCAGCTCATTGTCATCAGCCTTTTCAGTATTAACATCAAGTATTGTGTTATTGTATGTTATATCCTCTGTACGCGATTGACCGTTCTCCGTTTTGAAACTGTCGAGACAAAAAAAAATAAAAAATTTGTAAATTTATTTGTTTTTTCTACATTTATTCTAGATATTTAAATGTAAATGACAAGCTACTTTTTTCAATGTTAAATAAATTATACCAACAAATGTAAAACAGTTAAATCGTTTTGCCAGCTACTTAGAAGCATGTGTAAAATTACAGTTAGGTGGAGACAAAACGAGCACCTGTTTGCCAACAAAATGATATCATAGCCCAAATATAAACAAATATTTTTAAATAAGAATTAAGCAGGGCGAATACAATTTGCATATACATACCCAGCCATTTTACATGATAAGAAAGAACACGAAAGTATGTACGACTTTCTTTTTTGCCTTCGTTCTTAGACTCACCCAAAATGCAGCAGCTGCTCACCATTGTCACTGCTTTCTATGACCATCGCTTGTATGTATTGCACGCATAAAATTATGGCTAAGCTGTAAAACTGTATAAAAAAATTTGGATATTAATAATTTAAAGTTTAGATGTAAATAAAAGCAAACGTTAGTTAGTATTAAATAATTTAGCTATCTATATACATATATAAGACGCGAAAGTATTTTTTTGTTCAGGATATAAGATCTGCAACGTTCACTTGATTTTCAAAACTGAGGCGTAGATGTGCAAACTGGTTTTATTTTTTTGGAAAAGTGTTGCCACCTGTTGAAAAAATAAATTCAAATTTTTTAAAAATCAATGCCATCATATCCGCACCGTTCGTTCGATTTTCAAAAATGAGGTGTCAAATTAAGAGGCTTGGACTACAGATGTGCAGTAAGGTTTAACTTTTTCGATAAGAGTTGCTACCTTTAAAAACTTATACTCAAATTAATAAAAAGAATAAATCAATTATTACAAAATGGGTATCAAACGAAATGGTTTTGAAAAGCTTTGTTTCTTAGCTGCATTATAGGAGGGTTGCCACCTGTTTAAAAAATCATATTAGGTGAGAAAAATATGTATCACCATATGGATACCAAACGAACGAGGATTCAGAAAGTAGTAGTTTGAAAATATTTTGAAGAGGGTTGCCACCTGCTTGAAATATCGAATTTAGTTTACTTATACACAAGCGATATGAAACATCAAAATATGGGTGTCAAACGAAGGAGTGTTAAGAAATATTTAGTTTGAACGGCAGAATATTTTTGAGGTGTTGAAAGAGGGTTGCCCCCTGATTAAAAAGTTAAATTCAAATAATTTAATAAGTTTAATGAATTATTAAAATATGGGTATCAGTCGAAGGGGGTTTGAAAAACTTTTATTTCTGAACTGTGCTTGGTGGGGTTGCCACATGTTTAAGAACACCTTATGTGTGCATATTAAACTGACAGCCGCTGTGACTGAGTGGTAAGACTTTATAAGTTAAGCGACGTGCTAAGTTAGAAAACGTCTCCGAAGGCTCTTAAGAAACTAGAAAAACGGTCGAGTTTTTACCAGTAACTGGCACTCCTATTATGAATGTATAATAGACTGAATAAACGTTCGCCTTCAACAAGAGTCACTGGCAAAGTACAAAATTTCCATCTCGATTCGTGTTACTTGTTTAACACTACATTGGATTTAATATCCTGTGAGTCGTAGGTATTCAGATCCGGAATCCTAAGCGATCCTGTAGAGCTCCATCTCTGCCTAGCCTTCGAGTGGTAAAATTCTTTACATCTGCTTTTGATTGCTCTGAGCGAGGCTCTTGTGCTCATCGCATGGTACACAGATTTGCGCAGAGCCATGCATCCCATGAATTGGAACTAAATTCTTTTTCACACTCCCTAAAGTAAGATATATATTTTTCGCACACTGAAACACTCACTTTCAAACAAAAATGTGACGGAATTCGCTGACATAATTGCCTCATAACAGTGTATGTATGTTTAAAGTGCTTGTACGAATATTTATGTATTGTACAGTGTATTGACCTTAATCAAAGCAGTTCGTTTTGCCACATATCACATCACCCAAAAATAAATAAGCGTGGTTATTGAGCTTTAATGCGGAGTTCTCATACGAAACACAGTCAGTCGAGCTTTCTGTGAAAATATTTGTATAAGTGTCGGCTATGTCCTTTTAGGATAAAAAAAATTCAGAAATTGGCATTCTACGAATGGAATCGAAAAACTTTTAATTTTTTTCTAATGAAGTTGCCAGTTAGGTCTACGTGAACTTGGCGCGAAAACTATCTTGTTTCATTGCAATGCTTCCTCGGATTACTCATCACAGAATAAATTATTTTATTCATCACTTCCTATATTCAAATGTCTGAAACAAGTTCGAGATAAACGTTTTGGTCCAACTGCGACAGAAAAGTTATGGAATGATTTTTTTTTCTTTTCTTGACCAGCTTCTTTCTACATCCATATACATACCTACATATCATCACCTGCAATGCAAAATGCCGTAACTAATAAAAAAAAATCAAAATTCACTTATTGATTGATAAAATACATTTCATCGAAATACAACTCCCCACACATCGTTTTATGCAAACAAAATTTTATTAGTAACGACTTTTTGCATTTCAGGTGACGATTCAGGTGACGGTATGTGTAATAATATAACGTTTGGCACTGTTTCAACGCAAACAGGGATTTTTATTCTCCTCTTGATAAACCAGTGATCGTTCAATATTCGCAGATCTTTTGCGTAATAAAAATTCTTATTTGCCATCAGCAATCCCAAATAAAAATTCTATAGAATATCAGCACTTTTTTGCACGGAGTATATAAATTGATTATTTTTTAGTACTTACGATTTGCGTCTTCATTTTCACACTCAATTTTTTGCGAAATAAAAAAAAAAAAATTGTAAGTAAACTTTGTTTTTGTTTCTTTGCCACCTCAGTTGAAAATCCGTTGGAACGTTGTGCTTTCCTCCAATTTTAAAATCTAACTAAACTGGTCTGCTGCGTTGTACGATTCTAAAAAGTATCTAAGTATTAGCAAGTCACATTTATGTATGTTCTCAACTGTTTTTTCTTTCGTTATAGTTAACGAAATGCGGCTTAAATATTTTTGCCATGATTTTGTATTTGATGATTTTTTATTTTCCTAAGAATTTGTTATTCTTTTTACATATGTATGTATGTATGTATGTATGTACGTTGATTTTGCTGTAAGCTTATGCAAATGAGCAAAAGCATTAGCGTTCCATAAGTCACCCCAAATGGGATGGATCATTTCGACCGGCGAAACGCAATAATAATAGATTACGTCATTATTTATTGGACAAGTTTGTCTAAATTTAAATCGCTATACAAGTAGTGAGATGAAGAGATTCGCAAAGCAAAACAACGACTTCAGATGGATGCGCAAATTTTTCAAGCGCAAAAGATGAAGATACTCGTGTTTGCAAAAATCCAATTGCGACGATTGACACTTGAACGAATGCCAAAGATAGAGGTATGTGGACATATTTTTGAACACATTAGGGTAGCCCATTTTTATAGCAACTTTTGTCGAAAAAAGTTCAGTAGAAAATCTAAAAATGCTATGAATCATCATGAATCCCCTCTGTATTTTTTCTGCCTCATGCTACTGCTGGAAACCAACCAGCAGTTCGTGGATTGGTGGCCAACAAGCGGCCAATACTTATTTTTAAAGGCTGCTTAAGGAATGATGATATTCTTCAAATTTACTTCTGCATCCTAAGTACAGATATCGAACCAGTGTCCTTTTGAGTGTTAGTATGCACCTCTAACCACTCGTCTATCACTATGGCCCATATAAATCGCTGTTCAAAGCATCATCCGCTCATTAACTCTACAACATTTACCAAGTAACCACATTTTCTTACCCTCTTATCAACTCTTGATGAGCCACCCTAGTATTATCGCTCATCGTCAACTAATTCTTAAAATATTTTTGAATTTGTCCATGTAAACGTGACTATTAGTATTTATTTTATTATTTTATTTTGTCTCATTGAAGCCGGTAATTTATCTCCTAATCAGCTCTGTACAAATTTAAATGGGAATTCATTTATCAACGACTGACTTATGGTGTAGCCAGTGAATAATTGCTTGTGTTTGAATTTGAAGCGCATCTACTGTTATTTGTAGTATTTTTTCTTATTTATTTCAATTTAAAAATGTTTTTACTTGCAGGCTTTCAAAGCATTTGCATTAGCAAAGCATTTGTATAGGAAGTTGAAGCGAGATTAATGATTTTATTTCAGTGGAGTAGAATAGGTAGCACAAAAAGGCAACCCTTTTGTTGCGAACACTAAAACGAGTACTATGTAGAACAAATATGAATGCCACTACGATGACATATTGGAATATTTATAAGTAAATATAGATGACCTGATGGAATTTGCAGCACGTAGTGTTTCAAAGTGATCATGGCCAAACGCTCTCAAACCACAGCCGCTAAAGTTAAACGTAGAATACGTGATAATAATAAGAGCATATTTAGGTTATAAACAGTACATTTCTTTTTATTTTATTAGATTGGATTTTGAAACCATTTCAAGTGCTACCCATCTTTTAAACAGGTGGCAACCGTTTTAAATATTCTTAATGTTCAAGCTGAATATTTCCTAAAAATCCTTCGTTTGACGCCCATATTTTAATATTTAATACAGTTACTTCTGTATAATTTAAACAAATTCGGCGCTTTTTACACAGATGGCAAAATATTAAATATAAAAAATATTTTCAAACTAAAACCTTGTTAATCCTTTTTCGTATGTCACCGAAATATACATATCTACATATTTAAAATATCTGATTCCCTTAATTCAAGTTGCATTTAAATTTTAAAATGGATGGCAACTCTTCTACATGTGTAAACAGGTGGCAACCTTCTTTAAATTATTTTCAAACTGAAATGTCTGACATTCGCATTGCGATGCATATTTACGTTCCTTTAATTCAAGTTAAATTTAAATCTTAAAATAGGTGGCAACTCTCCTACATGTAGTTTAGAAAAAAAATATCTTCAAAGCAGTTCCGATTGATATCCATATTGAAGTAGTTCATTTAACCCATGGAACTTTGTACACAGGTGGCAATTAAGCATTTAAAATAAGTGGCAACTCTACCACATGTAGTCTAAAATACTGTTTTTTCAAAGCCATTTTGATTGATTTTCACATTGTAGTAACTCATTTTACCTATTTTTTACATTTATCTTTGTAAATAGGTGGCAACGCTCCTTCATATAATGAAGAAATTAAGCCTTTTCAAACCTATTTCGATCGATACCCATATTGTAATAATGCATTTAACTTATAAATAATTTCAAATACACTTTTTATCAAGTGGCAACTCTTTTTCATTTGTTACTCAGAAGCCAGCGCACTTCCAGCGCATGCACGTGTTTGCAAATTGATGACGAAGTGATTTTGTATGGAAAACCATTTATACTCATATATTTGAATCAAATAAACATACCTAGAAAATATCAGCCAATACTTCTCANTGACCAGGCCCTTGGGGTTCTATTTGTATGGAGGTTCTATTCAAAAGATGTATGTATGTCCTTTGAGTCCCTATCGAACCCTTGTTATTACTGCGTTCTGAGTTTACCAACTCGGTAGTTTTAAGTCTCGAAGAAGAACAACCAAATCCTGGAAATGTTGCCTCAGCGACCTTGTTCCCCTCGATTCCGCGGTGAGCATAGCGTTACCGTGCTTTTCACTGTCAACAGTTGAAGAATGACAAACATTGCTTAATGGGCTAGGAGGTGATAATCCTCTTGGATAAGGCCCTAACGGACGCTGAACTGTCTAAAATGATAACTATGACCTTAAAAGCCTTTTCAAGGTTCAATTCGCCACAGGTTAAGATTGCTTGCACCTCGGCTGGAAAGACTATAAGCCATCTACGCATTTCAATAGCAAGTTTAATGTGGAGTCCATAAACCCCCGCACATGTTCTGCTGTCCATCCTTGAACCGTCTATGTAGTACCACTGTGTGTACATATCTGGGATCAATGGGAGGTGGTCAATTTGCCTTGGATTTCTCTGCTGAAACAATTTTTTCAGTATAGAGTCGAAAAACCTGCAGAATTTTTCCCAAGGCATTATACATAAAATATTTTTTTGTTACATTGTCTTATGAATAGTACCGCCAGAGATTTTTGCATTGTACGCATTAATTGCCACATAGAAGTCATAAGATCCCTTTCTAACGCACCCAATAGAAGACCTAATGCAGAAGGACTGTCTGCACTTGGAATAAACAACTGATGCAACTGGTGAATGTTTTTAATCTCGTTCCAAATTAGATGCTTCTGCTGCTTAAATGAAAATATGGAATCCGTCCCAGAAACGACTCTAGGGCCACGTTTGATCCTGTGAGTCAGAGTTAAGCTAACCTCTGAAGTTTATAGCAACATGATGTGGCACTTTTTTACGGTTTTTGGGGCTGTCATACCATATATGCACTCTATTAATCTTACTCGACCAAAGAATTTTTTACAGGTCCGCGTGGCTCGGGCGACCTTGGTAAGAGTTTGACGAGAAACGAATTCGAACTTAGTACCTTATCAAAGTTTAGTCCAAGATACTCGTATTTAACTTCGTTAGAGTAATCTCGCACTATCTCTGCAATGGTAACCAAACCAAGGTTCGGCTAATACTTTCTTATGAATGGTACTAGAACACTTTTTTCGGGTTTATTCAGAGGGTCTTACTGGCACACCAGTTTTATACCAAACGCAGAGCTGGATTTATAACGTCTTACTAGCCAAATACTGAAGGGTAGAAACCGTTAATTTCCCTTTGACATAGGCACTAGGGTAGAGCGAAAAAAATAAAATTATCGATTTCGAAAATTTATTAGTACGGAAAATATTTAAGGTCGCCCCAAGATCCTTAAAATTTCGAAAAATCTCTAAAACTGTGGACTCCGAAGTTAGGAGTCGTATCACATTTGCAAGTTTCGTCAACAGAATTTTATGCAGATGGGAGCCCTTAGGCAGAAATTGATCTCCACATTACTCCTCCATGATTCTCTTTTGGGCGTCTAATACGTTTACTATAGTAGGTGAAATCAGCAGTAACGGATTCCAGCTGGTAACCAATGGTCAGATTCGCTGACATCTCCATTTTTCGATTGAATTTGTGGAAGGTATCAGCGAATCTGCATCCGTAGTCATAAAATTTTTGAAAAGGTCTCGGTTGGTTTTCTGTGCACGAATCTAAATTGTCCTAGGATCTCGAACATTATATTTTGGTGATCCGCGAGTGATGCTGCGTCCGAAACTTTTCAATCCCAAATGAGTTCAATAGCTGATGTGCGGCAGTACTCTAAAGCATACTCACACCTTTCACTAATCCTAATACAGTATAGTATTCTTAACTATTTCTACATACTTCGAAGACATTGTTTACCAATTTTCTAGGCGGGATCGTGCTTTGCAGATATTTGAGAATCAAATGTAAATATTTACATTATCAAATCTTTCGAATGTTTTTCGACCTTGCAAAATCTTGCCACAAAAACCAACTGCAGTTCAATGGCTACTACTTTTGTTAAATAAATAATTTTCTAACATTTTATTTTCAGTGTATCTTATATGATTGTACAATCCGTTATGATGAAATACATACATACGTACATAGTAAATATGAATATCAACCAGAATACAAATAGAGGTAGAGATGAAGTAATAAAGCTATGATTATCAAAGTCTACTCTTCGACACCGTTTTCGCGCTTCGCACTCATTCAAAGTGAGCATGCGTGTCCGATGCAAGAGCAGCCAAGCACAATGTGATTCAAATGCGTTAAGTGATTACGCTAATGTCTGCCTTGAAAACTAGAGCCTAACAATTGCAAGAAATATACATATGTACATACGTTTGCATTGGAGTTAAAGAGAAAATCAATCAAGGATACGCTTTATAACTAAAAAGAATGGTATTGCGTATTTATGTTGAAATTAATTAAAATAATTTTTTTTTTTGTCAAATAAAAATT